TTGGGGAAGGGGCTTTTTGGGACAGTGCTCACTGGGCTCCCCTCCACAGCCTCCGGCCCCTGGATGTGGAGTTCATGAGAGCCTTGCACCAGCGGGTGAACATCGTGCCTGTGCTGGCCAAGGCTGACACCCTGACCCCCACCGAGGTGGAGCGCATGAAAAACAAGGTAAGGGGAGGCTGGCCCAGGCTGGAGGCATCCCAGCGGGTCCCTGGGGGTGGGGGGTGCCCTTGGGTCCCTGCTTGGCTGGGGGCTTTCTCCAGCCCCTGCCCGGGCTTTGCCATGGAGCATCCTCCATGCTTGCAGCACTGTAGAGGGCCATGTTGTCCATGTGGCCCCCAAGGACCCGTCTCTGATGCTCAGCTGGGGGCTGGAAGGGTGTATGGGGGTGTCCATGACATCTAGTCTGGGGGCTCCTGCAGGGGGCAGGGTTTTTTGGGCCCTTGGGCGACACCAGGGCTGTGTGGCACTTTCCACCCCATTTCTGAGGGCCAGAGCCCTGCCCTCAGCAGGACTGTCTGCCTCCAGATCCGGGAGGAGATTGACCAATACGGCATCCGCATCTATCAGTTCCCTGAGTGCGACTCGGATGAGGATGAGGAGTTCAAGCTACAGGACCAGGCACTGAAGGTGGGTCATAGAATCATACAACGGTTTGAGTTGGAAGGCACCTTTGAAGATCATCGAGTCCAATCCCCCTGTAAAGGGTCGGGCTCCTCCAGCTCTACCCTTAGGCACGCAGAGCCCCGTGGATGGGGGGGACGTGTCATCCTGAGGGTACCCTTGGGACTCTTTGGGGCTATGCAAGCCCTCCTGCAGCCCCAGCATGGTGGGGCTAAGTACATACCACACTACCCAGCCACATCACCAAGACCCTGTAGGTGCCACCTGCAGCTTGGTGGGATGGGGCTGGGGTGGAGAAACCCATGCCGAGACTGCTGCCGTCCCACCTGGGGTGCTCCGTAGCTCCCAGGTATCTTGGCAAATGGGTGCTGGGTACGGCCGAGGAGATGTGTGTAGAGGGATTTGGGCCAGAGCAGGCAGGACCTGCTAACTCCCGCTGTCCTCTTGCAGGAGAGCATCCCCTTTGCCGTCATCGGTAGCAACACGGTGGTGGAGGCCAAAGGCCGGCGCGTCCGCGGGCGTCTCTACCCCTGGGGCATCGTGGAAGGTAACGCTGAGCCGTGGCACGGGCGTCCCACCAGCTTCGGGGGGGCACAGGGACACAGCGTGCCCCATCTCCACGCTGCTCAGCCTTGAGAGGGGAGGCTTAGGGGGGATGTGGGGGGGGCTGGCTGTGGCCCCCTGACCCTGAGCTCCCCCCTCCCCGCAGTGGAGAACCCATCCCACTGCGACTTCGTGAAGCTGCGGACGATGCTGGTGAGGACCCACATGCAGGACCTCAAGGACGTGACACGGGAAACCCACTATGAGAACTACCGCACCCAGTGCATCCAGAGCATGACCCGTATGGTGGTGAAGGAGAGGAACCGCAAGTACGGGGCCGGGAGCGGTGGGCTAGGCTTGGGGGGGGTGGGCCGTGCGTGTTTGGGGGGGGGTATCCTCCCTCTTTGGGGTCCCCCCAGCCCGTTGTGAGAGGTGATCTTGGGGGGGCTGGGGCTGTGCGTAGGTGCCTGCTGGGATATGTGGTGGGCTGGGTGAGGAAGCCTTGGCAGCGTGGTGGGGTGCCCCAGTGTGGTGGAGGGTCTTTCCAGTGCCGTTGGGCTGGGGCTGGCTTGGAGGGGGGCGGGGGAATGCTCTGGCAGTGAAGGGGGACCCTGCTTCCCCCCAAGGCTGGGTCTGTCTTACGGGGGATGCTCCAGCAGCGATGGGAACCCTGTATCCCCCCAAGGCTGGGGCTAGCTGGCAGGGCAGGGCCAAATGCTCCAGCAGCAAAGGAGGACCCTGCATCCCCTTGGGGCTGGTTGCGGGGGGTGGTGCTCCAGCAGCAAGGGGGACCCTCTGTGTCCTCCTGGGCTGGATCTGTCTCAGGGGGTCCAGCAGTGAAGGGAACTCTGTCCCTGCGGGCTCGGGGCTGGAGCAGGAGCCAAGCAAACAGCCAGCGCTGGGGCTCTGCTGCTGGTACCAGGGAGATTCATGGCAATCGCATCCCCTTTAGCCACCCCAAGAT